CTCCTGCCCCCAACCCTGACCACCCCCTGCCACTCTCTGCAGCTCACCTGGACGGGCTTGGCGCAGGCTGAACGCTTTGAGAACGGCGACTTCTGGAAGGTGAGTAGGGCTTGGGGGGGCTGCGGGAGAGGTGGGGGGCTGGGAGGGCCGTGGAGGGGCTCCAGGGGGCTGTGGTGCCCCCATCACAGCCCGCGGTCTCCCCCAGGATGACCCCGCAGAGGCTGTGACTCCAGAGCCCAGCACTGAGGACATGGAGCTGCCCAACCTGCCCATGGCCTCGCCGGACATGAGGTGAGTGGGGGGCACGGGGTGCGGGTGCGACACTGGGCACCATCTGCACCCAGGCTCCTGCTGGAGCTGCACAGCGGCATGGCAGGGTGTTGGAGCCAGGATGCCTCAGCGGTACCAGTGCCCTGCTGGGGCTGCGCCCTGGACGGTCTCGTCCCCCGCTCAGGCTCACACCGGGGACAGGCAGGGATTTCCCCCTTGTTAGGTTGGTCTGGACAGGGGTGTTTCCCTTCCCTCTACAGCTGGGGTAGCACCTCGATCAGGGGCCCCTGGGGTGCATGGACACCCCCTGGCAGCAGCAGGGGAATGATGCCCTCGCCCCCCCATGTCACAGGGCTGCTGACACTGGGTTGTGTTGCTGGTTGTGGGGTCGTGTCAGGAGAGGCTGGGCATGCACAGGGCAGGGATGTCAGGGCCAATCCTGCCTGGGGCTGGATGGGTTGTGGCCTCCGCAGGGCTCGACCGGCTTGGCCCTGCTGCGATCCGCAGCTCTGGGAAGCCGGTGGGGTCTGGTGGGTCGGAGCTCCGGCTGAGAGCCCGGACACCTGGGTTCTGTCCCAGCTCTGAGCGGGCACAAGGGCCTGGTGGTGAGAGCAGGGGGATGCTGGGCAGTGAGGGGCAGTTGCTGTGTGGGAGCAGGGCTCTGGGGTAAGCGGCTTCTTGCTCTTCCAGCTCCTCCCAGACCGAGGAGGGTGTGGTGCCCCCAGGATCTAAGGTACGGCTGGCTGCTGCTGTTACAGCGCCCGGATGGTGAGGGTGCCCGGGTACCGTTGCCGTGGTGCCGGGATGGGGAGGGTGCCCGGTCAGGGTGCGCTGCGCTGTCCCCACAGTGCTTCGCCGTGCGGTCGCTGGGCTGGGTGGAGATGAGCGAGGAGGAGCTGGTCCCGGGCCAGAGCAGCGTTGCCGTCAACAACTGCATCCGCCAGCTCTCCCTGCACGCGCCCGAGCCTGAGCCCGATCCTGCGGGCCCCTGGGGCCAGGTGAGCTGGGGACGGGGCTGGGACAGGCTGGTTTGGGTGGTTGGGGAGTCTGCCTGGGGGAGGTAGGTGCATCATTCCCTCTCCCCACAGGGCCGGGACCTGCTGCTGGTGCTGGAGAGCGAGACGCTGCGGCTGGGGGGGCCCCGGGGGGCGGCCCCCGTGCCCCCCCACCC